AGCCTTTCTGAGCATAAGCTTTTAAATGCATCACTTTTCACAGCCAGGCTAATCACTGTCCATCTTAGAAAAATGACAAAAACACCTCTACGAAGATGTCTTCTGACCTCTCCCTTTGTTGTACTTTGAGAAACAGCATTTTTCACAACTCCTGTGGGTGCTATTTTTGGATGTCTGGTAGGATACAGTTCATTTACAGATCACACTTCAGTCATTCTCTATTATTAATTTTACCATGCAAAAATAGAGTATGTGCTCTTATGCATAATTCCAGCACCTAATTAAACATCTTTTTATTGACTTTCTCATATTGAAGATATGTCTTCCAAATGACTCAAATGGTCCAGCAAGACATGAATAGTATCTTGTCATTGGTGAGGGAGGATCTGGGATTTTTTAATTTTTGATTTTTTAACTCCCTGACCTTTTGTTGCAAATAAGCTTCAGCTTCATGCTTATACTTCTAGCAGACTGGCTAAGGAGTCTGCTTCCCTCATAAAGGTCTTCCTCTTCAGGACAATCTCTCAAGTTATTTATTTTTTTGGAGAGGTTTTTGCTATAGGGTGCATGCGCTCACCAGAAAGACAGAGATAGAGAGACAGAAAGCAAGAAATCACCCCCCGGGGGGATGGTCACACCACAATCCCTTCTCCTCCATTCTCCTCTTGGGATCTCGGGCATGCATGCACACGTGCCCGGCATAAGTTTAAGCCACTGGGTCTGGGACTCAAACTGCAATCAACTACATGGGAGTCCAGTGACATAGCTATTACACCATCTGCTTGTCCCTCAAGTTATTTTTATTTTTAATTTCTGATTTACATCTAATTGTTGTACAGCTTTGTGTGGTACAATATGGTTTTCCAAAGCATGCATGCAGTATGTGATAATCAAATCAAGGATATTGCCATATTAATCATCCTCAACAAGAATATTACATTACACTGCACCTTTGATTTTCATTTTACTAGATGTTCACATATAAATCTATATATATAGGGTTGTTGGAAAAGTCATAATATATATTTTCTATGCAAACATGCATCATAACTTTTCCAATGGTTCAATGTTTGTTTTGTGTGTGTGTGTGTGTGTGTGTGTGTGTGTGTGTGTATGATTGGCAACATCCCTTTTTTTTTTACTCTGTTGCTGAATGCTGTTCCTCTCAGTATTAAATGTAGCTTATTAAGTATGTGTAAGCCAAATAAAAATTCTGGAGGATCAGCTCTAACTCTGCATCACAAATTCAGCAATTCCATGGAAACTCAATACTATTCCTAAGAGGAAAAAAAAAAAAAAAAAAAAAAACAGAAAACACTTGAGGGATGAGATGGTGGCATAGTAGTGGGACAATTGGATCCACATGGAAAGGTCCCAGCTCGCATCCCATAGGGCGGGCGCCACCACGCCCACCCAGCTCGTATCCCAAGACCTGCCTGTATACAGTAGGCTCATACATGCCCATGATCTAGACCGGCTGAGGCTGGGGGTGGGTGATGGCATGAAGGCCCTGTTTGGGGTATGTATGGGGATGCCTGTTTCTCTGTCTTTTAAGAATTAAAAAGAAAACACAACAAAAGCCAAACTAAGTGCATTCCTTCTTACTGAATGTCTTCCAAGTGGACTCATCCAAACATTACTTCATCTCTTAAGCACTAAAAAACCTAATTTTCTGAAGCACTGATGCCTCTGTCACCTCATTGCCCACCCCTCCTCAAAACAAAGTAACCTGTGTCTCAGCATGTGGCTGTGTTGTCTCCTGAAGTCAGAGAACAGATCGTCATAAATTCCGCTCCCCATCCCTGAATCTAAACATCCGCTTAGCCGCTGCTTTGGAGTCCTGTTGCCCGAGACTGGGCATCTGCCTTTCATCTCACAAGCACTCTCCTCCAGCCGCTGAAGAGGATCTATGGCATGCTGGTCAGGTGGAGAGGCAGGAATCTCACAGCAAAGACCTAAAACCCCCATGAATCATCTGAGAGCCCCCTGTGTTTCCCATCAGCTGACTGATTTGTGGACGGCCATATTTCTGGATCTCACCCAACTGTCTCCCCTGTTGGAAAATACTTGCAAACTTATAAATTACCTCTGAATATATTTTCTCAAGAGGAACAGAGCAGACTACTGACTCCTGATTATCTGAAATATCAGTATATAGCACCTGGTTATCAGTATGGATGGCCAATTTAATGATGTGAGAGGATTAGGACTAAAAATGCTATTAAAACATTCTATTAAGAAGAAACAACAGTGGAATGCTTTGTTTAGCACTGGGAGTTCTGTGAATAATATAGGAATCTTATATAAAAATAATAGATGAATACAATAAATGCAAAGTTGTCTCAGTTACAAAAAATTAAAGGCAGAAGTTAAACAGTGGGTCTATTATATTACATGCAGTGCTTCCAAAACCTGGCTGCATGCTAGAATAACCCGGGGAGCTTTAAAAATAGTTCCGCTGCCCAGGCTGCACCCCCTTACCAATTAAATCTGAGTCAAGGGGTAAGAGGGTAGAGTCCAGGTCTCTATCATTTTTAAAGCTCCCCAGCGGATCCCAAGTACAGTAAGATTGAGGGCCTCTGCACTGAAGAATACGGTCCCTGCCTTCCTGAAGTTAGTCTTACAAAGTCTACTTGGTGGGTAGTTCTCCTTCCTCATTTCTGCCAATCATTTCTTGAAAGCTAGAGCCTGGAATTATGTGTGTGTATGGGGCAGGTGGTGACACAGTGGTGACAACTAAATCCCCTGAGAAAGGTCCTGTGTGCACCCTGGGACCTCCCTGAGCACACCAGGTGTACATGTGCATGTCCATGAACTAGGCCAGCTGAGACGGGGAGTGGATCACAGCATGGGAACCCGGTTTGAGAGTCTTTCTGTCTCTTTCTCATGGAAGATATAAACTTAAGAAGAAAAAACAAATGAGCTATGGAAGACTTTTTAAAAAATTAGATACGCACACACAGACATATATAAAATACATGCACGCATACTTTTATTTAACTTAGGCCCCGATTATTAGTATATATAAGTCAGAAAAACCCAGTGCCCTGGAACTTACATATCTTCTCCAGATATTTAAAGAACCAAACTCTAAAGAACACATACAAAAGATATTTAAGTCATAAAACACACACACACACACACACACACACACACACATGAACAAACTTTAATCACCTTCAGGAACCATGATCCATAATATATTTCATCGGTAAGATCTCATTCTTTAATATACAAAAAAAAGAAAAACAAACCCAAAAACAACAACTAAACTTTAAGACACATGCCCTTAGCAAGAGCACTTACAGTTAGAAAGGTTTATCGGTGGCACTTTGAGGTAGTGTATCTTGTAAAGGAATAGAAGTCACAGAGCTGCTATGCAGTTTCTGGCGGACATGAAAGCCCAGGCTCTCAGCCTTTGTGCTTAGGAGAGGAAATCAAATTTGTCTGTACTCATTGCCAGATTCAGCCCGAGCGCACTTCCTGCCACCTCCGCTGGGCCATCTCCCCACTCCACTGCATGCATGGTAGGTTGTGAAATGGTAAAAGTGGGGCCAGCAAGTGGCATGGTGGTTAAGGCGCTGGATTCCCACATGGCTGACTGCAGCTAGAGTTCCAGACCTGGCAGCTTGAAATGCACACTAGGCGCATGTACGTGCCCAAATCCCCAAAGAAGAATGGAGGAGGAAGGGATTGTGGCATGTCATTGCCCCCTACCCCCTGTCCAAGGGGTGATACCTCAGTTTCCCTCTGACTGTCTCTCTCTCTGTCACTCTCCAGAGAAGACAATCGCCCTATGGCAAGAACCTAAACAAAACAAATCAAAACCAAAAGAAATGTCACCAGTTTTCTTGTTGTGGTGACATTCTAGGCTGGGAGCCAATCTCCTTTTGCTACATGTAATCCTCATGGGTGGGACAGCAGGCTCCTGGTGGAAAGGGAAATCGGGCACCATGACACCCATTTTTAACTAAATTAAATGACTTAACTAATTAAGAGTGACTCATTTCTTTAAGGCTAAAAAGAGTTCATTTCTGAATACGTCCACCCTGACTCTGGCCCTTAAAAGGTTCTCCTTTTTTTCCCCCCTGGGTACAATCATTTTGGGGTATCATTAAGCTTTCTGGGATTTTCCTGGCAAGATGGTAGGCAGAAAAGCTTTTGAAAAAAATCCACACACAAAAACAACAAATAACCCATACCCCAGGTGCAAGAGTAACACCGAGAACAGACTTTCTTTGTGTGAGCTAAAATGATCCAAGTTTACAGTTCAGAAAAACAGCCTGCTTTAAAACAAAACAAAACAAAAACTGTAAATATTCAGCTCAGCTCTGCATTTTAAACACAAATAAACAGTTAAAACAGGTTAAGGATTAAAGCTGCAAAAAGGGTCCCAACAACCTCAGACCTTGATAGAGGTCAAATTTTTGCCCAATAGTCACAGATTTAAGAGATTTCTAATCCCCAAAGCCCTTTTGTCCCAATATACTTCCTGTTTGAAAACTGAACCCTTAGAAGTCATCAACATACAAATGAATACAAATAGCACATGTCCAGGCAAAAAAAGGGCATGGGCTGGCCCTGAGTTGCCACTTAAAGTTCTGTCATTCAATATTACAGAATAGCCCCAAAGGCTGCCCAGAAACAGGTTCCAAGCATCACTAGCTCACCAGCCACCCAAGTCAACCGCCGCCCGACACATCTGAGCATTAGACTTCAAGTATCCAAGGGGCTCCAACAGCTGGTCCTCTAAAGACCTCAGCTGACTGTCAGGAGCTTCCACCCCACAATGTCCCCTTACACAAAAGTGAAACACTGCTCATGGTTGTTACAAAACACTGGGTTGAAAAGTGAGGAGTATGAGAACGGCTCTCTGAATACACCAGCTTTACAAATACAAATAAATTCTTAAACATTTTGTACAACTAGAAGGTGCGTGAGCTGGTATTCAAGCAATCACT